GGGGGTCGCAGCCTGTATCCTAGCAACCTGTCTCCTAGCAACCCCGTTGCTTAGCAGCGGGCGGCGCGGTGGCGAGTGGCCTTCCATACCTAATGAGGTGGGAGGGGGCTGGGGGAGACCCCCCCCAGAACTCAGAGCCCATCACCCTTCACCCTGCACCACCCTGGGGGGGGGCTGAGCCCCCAGAACCACAGAGGCCCCCCCACCAATGCCCTTGGGGACATTGAAGGGCACCTCCCATCCCTGGGCTGTGGGGTGGGGGCTGTATTTCCCACTCCTGGGGGGGTCAGAACCTCACAGAGCACTCATAGGCAATGGCTGTGGGATCAGCTGGGGGGAGCCCAATTTTTTTTGGGGGGGGGCACAGCCTGACTGGGGCTGCCTCAGCCTTTGTTCTGGTGGGCGCTGCCCAGCTCGTGGCTCCTCTTTGTCTGCAGCCCCACAATCCTGGAGGGGGGGGCAGGGGGGAGCCCCGCCCTGGTTTAGCAGCACCCCAAAAGCACCGAGGGAGGGGGGCAGAGAGGTGAGGACATGGAAACGAAGACGTGAAGCATCCCAAAAATGCACACATTGTATGAGAAAAGCAGAAAAAAGCCGTGATTTCCCAGCATTTGGGGGGTGGGGAGGGGGATGATGCTGGCAGCTCCACCTGCAGTGCCCTGGGGCACCAACCCCCCCCCAAACCCCCCCAAAAGCCACTAGGAGATGTGCAGGAACCCCTGGAGCTGGGGAGGATGATGGTTTGGGTAGGGGGCTGCAGCAGATTGGGGGGGGTCAGGGTGGTCCATCTGTGTCCCAAACACCAACTGCTGCAGAGCAGCTGCTGTTGGACCTGGAGCTGTTCTGGGGGCTGCGGGGGTCCAGGGGCTGTTCTGGGGGCTTTGGGGGGGGGCAGATTGGCCTGGAACAGCCCCGGGATTCCCCTTTCTTTGGGCCTCCAGGGGCTGCGGTCTGCACACAAAGAGGGACAGGGATGGGCGCGGGGCCATGGATGCGGCGGGGGCCAAAGGACGGCTGGGAAGCGGGGCACTGGGGCACAGCCAGGAGCGGGGACAGCGACAGTTCCGGGAATGGGGACAGGGATGCGGCCAAAACGAGGACAGTGGCACGGTTCAAACGGGGACCGGGGTGTGGCCGAGGATGGGGACAGGGATGCGGATGGGGATTGGGGTGTGGGCACGGCTGGGGACGGTGATGTGGTTGGAAACGGGGACCGGGATGGGGACATAACCAAAGCTAGGGGCCAGGGTGTGGCCGGGGATGGGGCCGGGGATGGGGTCAGTGCCACAGCTGAGATCCAGAGCGCTGTGGCACAGCTGGGAACGGGGAGCAGGGCGTGGTTGGGGCCGATGGCACTGAAAGTGACGGGGTCCAGGGATGGGGAGACAGAAATGGGGGAGCAGGGATGGGGACACGGGACCGGAGCAGAACGGGGCAGGGAGCGGTGATGGAGCGCTGGTGGCGGAGGTCCCCTCCGCATCCCCCGTCCCGCCCCGCCCGCCCTTTGTCTGCAGCTCCGGTGGGGCGGGGGGGAGAAGGGGGGGGCATTACCTCATCCCCGCACACCAATGGCCGCCGCCGGGGCCTCCTCCCCCCGCACCGCTCCGCTCCGCCCCGGCAGCCCTATAAAGCCCCGTTCCGCCGCCCGGCTCCGCCGCGTCTCTTACATCGACTGCCTCAGCGTCGTGCTGTGAGAAAGCCCCGGAGCGAGCAGCCGCCATGGTGAGCACCGGGGGGGGGGGGCACTGGGATCGGGCACTGCTCACCTCCCCCCCCTTCCTTTTGTTCCTTTTTTTTTTCTTCCCCTTTTTTTTTTTTTTTTTTTTTTTTTTCCCCTCCTTTGCAGTCGCGGAGCCCATAATGAGATCACCGCCAAGGGCTCCGGTGACAAAACGCGGCCCCCGCCCGGTGCGCGGGGGGGGATGAACGCCCGTCTGTCGGTGCTGAGCCCGCACCGGGTGCGGTCCCCGTTAAACCGCACCGTGTCCCGTTAATCCGGGCAGGACAGGGCCTCGGTGCCGCGTCAGCTTCGGGTGTGGTCCCCGTTAAATCATGGGGGGGGTACCCTCAAATCCGCTAATTGATGAGGAATGGGGCTCCCTCCGTACCGACTCTGCAGAGGGTGCAGCCCCCCGGTAAAAGGGGTTGGGGGGACGTTAGGATCCGTTATGTGGGGTAAAATGAGCCCCGGTGCCGAGTCAGCAAAGGGCGTGGTCCCCGTTAAACCGAGACGGGGAGCACCGGGTCCCTTTAAACAGGGTGAGATGGGACCTCCCGGTACCGGCTCCGCGCTGGGCGTGGCTCCCGGTTAACGGAGCACAATAGGAGCGCCGTTCTCCGGTTCTGAGCCCGTAAGGGCGTGGTCCCGGTCCGATAGAACAGAATAACACTGAGGCCGAACCGGGTGGGGCGATGGTTAAACTGGGACCCCCTCCGCCCCCCCGGCAGAATGAGTGCCGGCGCTGAGCCCCCCACCTTCAGCCTTGCGTCCCTATAGGGCAGGGCGTGGCCCCATGGGCAGCGTGGGATCCATTGCTGAGCCCCCAGCCCACAATGGGTGGGGTTACAGAGCTGGACGGAACCCCCAGTGCTGAGCCCCCCATCGGGGTGTGGCTGTGCTGCAGCCCCAGAACAATGGGATGGGGATGGGTTCGATGCAGCCTTTGGGGGGGGTCCGGCCCTATTCCAGCCGCCAGAGGGCGCTCCTCTCAGCCCATCCCTATGAACAGCATTTCCGTGGGGGTCTGGGATGGGGGGAAACACATTGCTGAGCCGGGGGGTAACGCCGCCCCATATCCACCCCACAGCGTGAGTGCATCTCCATCCACGTGGGCCAAGCGGGCGTGCAGATCGGCAATGCCTGCTGGGAGCTGTACTGCCTGGAGCACGGCATCCAGCCCGACGGGCAGATGCCCAGCGACAAAACCATCGGCGGGGGGGACGACTCCTTCAACACCTTCTTCAGCGAGACGGGGGCCGGCAAGCACGTGCCCCGGGCCGTCTTTGTGGACCTGGAACCCACTGTGATCGGTGAGCGGGGTGGGGCTGGGGGTGGCGGTGCTGAGGGGGGGCCGTGGCGGTG